CCTTTCTGGAGACTGATTCCCTGCTGGCTTCTCTGGTCCCCCGTGTGGTGAACCTGTTGGCATTGAAATCTGGAAGTAAAAGCTGTGTGGAGGGAACGTGGAATAGGGAGCTGCTTCTTGCTCCCTGGGACTGGGGTGTGATGCAGGCATGTTCATGGTTTACTGTGTTGTGCAGTCCAGACTGCGCAGTCAGGATGAACTGAGCATGACACCATGTACAGCTGGGCCCACACGTGGGTGGTTAGCTCAGAGTATTTGTAGTCTGAGTTGGCTCCACCTCCTTAGCAGTTCCCTGAGGCCAGGTAACCTGACTGCTGGGGCTGAGGCTCTAGAAAAGCACCTGAGATCCCACCCATGCCAGTGAGTCAGGGCCCCACTCTGGGTTGGGCCTACCCCCTACTCCCTGTTCTGATCTGTAGCCTCATTCTACCCCAGCTTAGCCCCTAGGAATTGACAGTTTTCAATTTTCAGTTTCAGTTTTGTCTCTACTCAGTGCCTCTCCTTGTCACTCTTCACTCCACAAGGGCCAATTTCTCTCTTGCCCGTGCATCCAAGAACCCAGGTTAGGCTCCCATTTGTTTGGAAGGGCAGGAGGTTTGGACACAGCTGATTCCAAAAGCACAGAGGAGCACTGGGGAGGTGTCAGTTTTCCCTCTCCCTGGCTTAAGCCCAGTGACCCAGATGAGTCCCCTAAAAGCAACCCCACCTTATTAAATAAACTGTTGGTAATCTAAAATAATGGGTTTTGTTCCCAAAAGAGGTGTAGAGTGTGTCTCTGTTTCTAGTCATTTGGGTAAAAATAGAAACGTTATACTTAGTTGGCAATGAATGTGAAATGGAGTACTTAACTTCTCGTGTTGGGCACGTGACTAAACGGAAGACTTGAGCCTTTCTTTATGGGATACAGGTTCAGTGAGAGCTATGTAATAGTGATTGGTTAATTTCAGCTGGGCATTAAATTGACATTACACTTTTGTGAAGAAGCTCCAACATATCTGTTAATAACCAAGGTGGTACCTGGGCTAATATAGACTTTTTGATTTTGCACATGAATTAACACTGTAGTTTGCTGTGGGAGGATCATATGAGCTTGGAAATTTGGTGTGCCAAAGGATTCTTTGTATGAATAAAAATTCTGGTCAGTGAAGGTCAGTTTCTCTACTCAAGCGAGGACAATGCTGTTTCCCTGCTAATCAGACACACACAGCGTTTGAAAAATCCAGGAGCCCCACGTAGGTGATGTGCAGCCATAGCCTGGGCAGCTCCTCATGCAATAAATGAATAATCTTTAATAAAGACTAAGTCGACCCGGTTTCTTTCTGAACTGTAATCAGTTGCCTTAATGACATATCCTTCAGTGCTTCACAGGGAAAATGCTATAAAGTTAAGTTATCTACCTTATCTTGTTTCAAAGAGGGCTAAATTGGTCCAATCAGGCCTCCCCCCATGTTGTATTTGATTCTGCCATAAAGACCACTGGAGTCAGCCTCAGTTTTGTTGAAAGGCCAGCATTTCCTTTCTCTTTCTGGGTGATCCGTGCCTCTCAGGGGCACTGGACTTGAAACAGCAGGAGTCACCATCTTTATTGTTAGGCTGCAGAATTTGTTTTAAGCACATTCTAAATCTAGTCTTATGCCTTTTGGGTTTTTTTTAGTCTGTGACAAAGGTGACCCAATTGTGCTTCTTTGATATTATGAACACAGCTCTTTTTGCTCATATCACAGAGGCATATAACAAAATACAAAGGACAAAATTGTGTCTGTATGTGTAGTAAGGACACGTATTTCATGACTAAATTCAATGACATAATGTCATAATCAAAAACGTGTTGTCTTCTCACAGTCATGAGCTAACAGGCAGAGACCACCTTTCAGGATTTTTTTTATAGTGCTGAGATACTGTTCAAAAATAATAGAACTAATGAAAATGTCACATTGACAGAGTAGCCCATATTAAGATTTTACTTCAAGAAGGCATGATTTGGTGAATGTGACATTGACAGCAATGGTGTTAGGGTTTACAGAGTTAGTAAAATGTTCTAAGAAGAAGGTTATAGAGTTCCCATTGAAGTGTATCATTTTTCATTTTACTTTTTCTTTTCTAGAATTAAGTGACTCCAGGAAGTAAGGAATGTTAGCCTAATATTACCTGCCTAGAAGAGGTATAGGGAGCTTTTCTTTGTATCAGACCCTAATATAATTTTGTAATACTATGCTTTCAAAGAAATATGTTAATTTAACAATATGGTAAGATGCATGTTCCTTAGGGTATTTGAAAAATATGTAGGTAGTAAAATTGTATAATACATATGTATTTCTCAGTAAACAAATGTGCCATGTTTAAGTGATTAAAAATGTGTAAAAAAGTAGAAATGGAGAATAAAAGTGGAAAAGAGAACTAGTTATAAAGAGAATAGTTGTAGCATCACTGAAGACTTTACTTAGCTCTCTGGTTGAACAAATATTCCAGCAAATCTGGAATGAATAGCAACTCTGTTTACTATGACAGGTTTTATTTGTCTTGGGTGCAACCAAGACCACATGCTGTGTTTTGTCATGTTAGAAATTCTGAAGCAGATTTCCATTGTGAATGTGAATTCTTTTTAAAGCCTTAACACCTCAGTCTAAGCTCAGCTAGGCAAAAGCAATAAGTTTTCCTTTTCTTGCCAGCTAGCCATCAATAAATCTTAAATCCCTCTACCAAAAGCATGTAGCTGCAGTTCACTGTCTTGGTTGTAGTCTTAGGTCACTGCCATAGATGGCCTGATTCTTCTCATTTCCAGGGGATATTTTTCTGCCTTTAATAAAGCTTTTTTTTTTAAATTTTCTTTCTCCTCCATATATAGTACAACTTCTTTAACTCCACATCCTAGGAGGATGTATCACTGTCTGCATAGAGCCTTCCTATATCCAATTATGCAGAAATCTCTCCCTAGCATAAACATGGCTCTCTTCCTACCCCTCAATTTATACCCTATGTAGACAAAGCTGTGTTTAGAAGCCGTGTCTCCAACCACATTTACTTATTGGAGTTGTTGATTCTGCTGAATTTACAGAGAATGTATGTACCAGAGCTTAACATTTAGTTGAGAGTAGCACAGATTATTGTGAAATTGTTTAGATCCACTTTACATCTTGGAATAACTCTGGATAGCAGATCTTTGCAAAATTCCCATAACATTCCTTTTTTATGCATTATCAGGATGGTTTAGATAGCATGGAAATACAGATAGAAGTAGAAGAGTAAGGGCTTAAGAATGAAGGAAAGATCATTGTTTTCAGGGATCAGTATCCAATTTTCTTGTCCTGTGGTATTTATTCTAGTTTGATATGGGTTAGTGGTTTTCTTTAAAGTTATATCATTCTGTTTGAAATGAGTTTAAGGCTAATCTTACACTGAGGAGCCTGGTCGCCAGTGAAGGTTAGCACTTGATTAATACAGTCGTGCTCTGTGGAGGAGAGGAGGGTGAGATTCGAGGTGGTGGGGAAGGGAATAGAACCAGCTGCAGTGCTCCAGCCCAAAACCTGTGGACACCCTAAGGAGCACTAACCTTTAGTTATAATGAGATAAGCCCGAATAATGACGCTTGTCCACACTGAGCGTCTGATAAGAGTTAGTGGCAAGATTAAAGAAGGTGAGAAAGGCTCACTTCCGTACTTTTAATATTCAAACAAATAGTTGAGCACCTATTGTCTGCCAGGTTAATTGTACGTGATTGGAGATATAGGTGTAAACAAATACCTGTTCTTATAGAACTTATATTGTAATAGATGGAACATAAATAATTTTAGGTAGTAAAGGGCAAAAGAAAACTATAGCAAGGTATAAGGACAGAGAAAGATGGGCTGGCCAACATTGGTAAGGTATTCACCAAGGCCTCTCCAAGGAGGTGATATAAGGCCCAGGCCAAATGAGGGAAGTTACTTAAGAGTTTTTCATAAAGAGGGAAAACAAGTACAAAGATTCTGAGGAAGTAATGATCCTTGGGTATTCAAGGAACAAAAAGAGAAACTTTGCAATTACAACTTGCAAAGATAAGGGAGGGGAAAATGATAGGTGAAGTTGGAGAGCTAGAGTAAACAAACAATGATCCTAGGAATGAGTTCATCTTGGGAATATTGATAAATGACAAATCTAACAGTGCATGTGTTTTAAAAGTGAAATTATAATATTTATAGTTTTAAGAACAAAGCTAAGGGACTCAGTAGAATAACTAGGAATAACTAGAGTGTCTTCTTACGTTGAGCAAAGTAGCAAGATGAGGGAGCTCAAAGCCTAGTGTTTGGCATGCTGCTATTACCAAGCTGTTCTTACTGGAATATCTCCAGTAGAAACACTACATTTGTGTGTGAGGTTTTTGAAAGTTTTAACCATCTCCTTTTAAAATACTTCTTAAGGAGTTGAGTAGATATTGTTTTCCTGACAGGTTAACTCAGCCTGATTCTCCCCCTGTAGTTCCTCTAAGTACAGCTTTGTGTTTCCCCATCTCTTGTAATGGGAGAAGCATCTCATAAGAGATAGCTTGAACCTTCAGCAAGGGACTGTGCTGCTTACTTATTGTTTTCTTCACTGTGGCAGTGGCTAGGTGTTGTTGAATGCTTGCCGATAAGATAAGCTGTCCTTGTGACTAAAAAACGTCTCAGGAAACCTCCATATTTTAAGGGATCATTGGGATGCTGATAAAATCTGCAGGTGAAATTTAATTTTGTATTCAAATTAACAAATACATATAGTTTACTTATAGAAACCAAATTATTAGGCATACAACTAATCCATAAATATGGATTTTTCCCCTTCTAACTTCTATTTTGTTTGGAATACAATGAATATTGAGGCATCATAGAGACTTGCCAGACTTCTGCATCTCTCTGACACTCCTGGACTCAAAGAAACAATTCTAAAGCCTTCAAATTCCATCATAAGCATGCAAATTACTGTTCATATTGTAAGGAGCAAAGCCTAGGGCACATAAGTTTGTTGGTTTATTTTTCTTTTGACAGAATTAAGATGCTCTGGTTTCAAGGAAATAGTATACAACTTGCCAAATGCTCCTTTGGACTCTTCTGGAGAAATGTATCTGCCTCTAAGACAACTCTGCCTGTGCTGACCTTATTCACAAAGGTACAGAGTGAAACAGTAAAATTATTACTTTTAAAATATAAAGTATTAAAATTGGGGGGTAAAGAAAGTTGCATGTGTAAGAAAAGGAGACAAAGTTGAAAGGAAAGACAATGGAGTAAACCTTATTCAAACCTGCTCCTTAATTTTTCTATCAGCAGAACAGTAGTAACTCTGTTTCCTACCAAGACACTTCATTATCTCATAATTATCAGAGAATAAATTAATGTATTTAATGGTTATCTGACCCCTACACTGAAAAAAAAATGGACAGTAGGTTATAACATGATGTTTACAAATGTATCATTTATATAAATACAGTCAGTTCTCAGTATTTGTGATAATTATGTTCTATAAAGTCACCTGAACACTGAATTAGCACTGAATTAGCAAATACTGAACCATTGCTTCTAGGAGAAATACAGGGTTAGCTTCCTTTGAGAAGGTTTCAGAAGGTTTCGGCTTCCTTTGAAAAGGTCACAGTGTTTTCATCAGCCAATCAAATTTATAACCTTGTTTTACATATGTTTCTGTTTAAAGATGCTTTCTTTAATATATACTATTGATTCATTAACATTAAACTCATAGCCAATGGCACCTATAGCTCACGTGTGAATGAAGCTGATCTAACACACGTATTTTCTTTCCAGCCTCCTTGTGCTTATGAATACAAGACAGCACTTCAGTACTGTTCTTGGGAGCTATTTTAAACAGTGAAAGCCCTAATAAAAAGCACAAAAATGCAAAAAAACACGGCACTACACAGACCATGTAAAGGATATTAACTTATGTTTATAGTATGAAAGCTGAAACAAGAAGGCAGAGCATCACCTTGTTCAACCTCAGCTTGGAATGATCACTTGTGGTGACTCAAATTTTTCATTACTGTGTGTGTGCACGTGTCTGTGAATGACTGCAAAAGCACATTGAGTATTGATTTGGGGGTTGCAAATAAATTTTAGCAGGTAGACAAATTCACAAATGTGGAATCCATGAATAATGAGGATTGGATTGTGCTTATTTTCTTATCTTTAACACTAGTTTTATGATATAATCTAGTTTAACTTTTTTCAGAGCTTTTTTTGCCCTGAAATTTATAATACAAACATTACTGATTTCTTTTTGCTGATTAATATAACTTTGTATGATTTATAATCAAAAAATAAATAAATTACAGGGTAATAGAAGTAACTTTTATGAATACTACTGTAATTCAAAGACAAAAGGTCTCTTTTTAATAGATTTTTCAGAGATTTCAGGTATTTTAGCAATTGCTGCAGTCAATTGCTAAATATCTGACAGTTACCTAATAACAAAGTTTAATTCGCTTTTAAAAATAAACTTGTTGAGAATATTTAATCTAAACCATTTTTCATATCCATTAAGCATATATTACACTATTGGAAATTATGAAACCAAAAATGTTATATCATCTGAAAGTCTAGGATGGGAAATGCATGTGAGAATTGGCCACAAAGATCAAATAATCCCTTAAGGCTAGTGTTGCTCACTCGGCCTAGCAGTTCTACACTGTATTGCATTTTGCGCAGTGGCTGAGATAGCCAAAAACACTTGTTAAAAAAACAGAAACAAAAAACACCAACCTTCCATTCAGCTTAATATTTGTACTGAGCGCTTGCATCTGCACCATTAGGCACATAATAAGATATTATTATCACTCCCACCTTCAGGAGTTCACAATCCAGTAAAAGAAATATTTACAAGTATAATGTCAGTACTCTATCTGTTATAAAGAATAGAAAGTACTTCCCAGAGTGACTTAAAGAAAAAAGGGATTTGGGGGTTGGTGTGGTTTCAGGAATAGCTTAATTTAGGAACTAAGCATGTTACCCATCTCTTCAGCTTCACATCCTCTGAGTTAAATCAGTCCTCATTTTGGCTCTTTTCATGGATAACTGGAGCAGTCCCAATCCCCAGATCTCATATCTCAGACATCTCTACAGAACCTTCAACAAACGTCTCCTGGCTGTCCAATGGCTCTAACTGGCCTATTCCTGAGCCAGTTGTAGCCAAGAGGGATAAGATGTGATAATTACCTGAACCTAAGTAAGGAGTTCCACCCTTGTTGCTCAGGGATGGAATATGCCACGTGCAGAGAGAGTTCCTGTGAAGCAAAATCACAGCACTCTTGCTACAAGAAAGGGGATTGGGTGGTGGACAGCCCAACCAACAAACCTACTACAATTTAAGGACAGAGTAAATAACAGGTGCCATGGAAAATCCTAGAGAAGGGTGTTTGAATGATCCAGACCACTGGGCCTTACCCTTTTTTGGTTTCTTATTCTTTTTAAAATTATATAAACATATCAAATTTGCATATATAATTTGCAAGTTTAAACCCCAAGTTTAAAAAAACAAAAACAAAAAACCTGATCTAGGCTCTTCTAAAGTTTTTAATATAAAAGCAAATTTTTGGTACATTTGATACTTCTGCAATTTAAAATGTTCTTGTTTTGCTTTTGCTTTTATGATTCTATACTGACTTTTTGAAACTTTCTCAAAAAATTTCAGCATGATTACCTTAAAACATTACAAATTATCCACAATCTGTTTATCGCTAATGCTATTGATAACGTGATGACCCTAAATCTCCATCTCAAGGAAATTAGGGCCAGAAAGACTCTTCTGGATTCTTTTTCAAAATAAGCATGAGTTATGCTGGAGGAAGCTTCTTTTTTATATAATAGCTCATCTCTTCTGTCATATTAAAAAGCAGGTTTCATATAAGCATCTGTAATGTTGACTCTATTTTGAGCTCATGCAAGAGAACCTCCAACAAGTCCCTGTTCATGGAGTCAAGGGCTGAGAAGCCTTAAAAATCTGCCAATGATCCATAGTATTCTCAATAGACTTCTCTACTAGATGATTTAAGAGTGCAAACAATAATGGACACTAAAACTTGCCTGCTCCTCAGTGAAAATTTCATCCTGGAAACCTGTTGCTGACACTTGTAATAAGAAAACAGGCAAAACATTAGGAATATAATTAATCATCATCTGAAGTGAATAAAGATTTTTTTCCCTTTTTAGAGATGGAGCAATTACTATCTAACTTTATCCTAATAGATTTATTCCTGTGGACTGATTAGAAAAGATAGACTCACTAGGCTCAGTGCTTCCCAGTCTGAACAAACTTTGAACCATTCTGTTAGTGTCAGCCAGGTCAATTATATGAGACCACAAAGGTACTCCTGACCTAGGAACAACAAAGCCCTTAGATAGATAGACCAGTGCAAAATAGTAAGAATATAAATTTATTTTTGTACACATTGATTGATTGATGAAGAAAAATCAAAACGAAACAACCAAAAAAATGCAGAGAGCCTCTGTACCATGAAATACTAGTTATTTATAAGATTCTATGATAGTATTTTGCTTCGTAAATAAAACTGTAATTAACCTGGTAAAAAGATGTCCTTTAATATAAGTATAATCTGCTTCTTGTGGTTTGGATTTTTTTGTTAGGCCAAATACCATTCTTTGGATTTAATGGCTTGATTTTTTTTTCTTCCTGTAGGATCCATGCCCCCTTTGTGAGGAAGCCAAGGAAGTACTCAAACCTTACAAAAACAGGGTAATATGATACAGTGTAGCTTTTATGTATACAGAATGCATATTCTATGTGGTATAAAGTATCTGCCTGGATCTTTTCTTTAGGAAAAGAGATTAAATGATTTTTCATTTAAATTTTCTTTCTATTCTTCAGAGAGAGAGTTTAGTGCTGATTTCCATAAAACTCATTACCCCTAAGTGCTTTTCTCTGAGCAGTACTGGTTTTCTTACTCTGACTCTTAATATGAGTCAGAGTTAACTAGCAGGTGCAGTATCCGTGCTTTCTTTAAACTTTATCCCTGTTCCTTTTATTTTACTTTGTAATTTCCATGGAAATGTTTTCATGTAGCAAACCATCACACCTCTCCCATTCTTACAGCACTTCTGTCCTGATTCTCAGGCAGCTTCCCAATTGGGGCATGTTTTATTTCACTGGGATCTGAGTAGTGTCCTGATGCTGAATGTTACAGGTATAACAGAAAAGAAGCAAGATCTGGAGGTGGGGAATATAATTAAAGCAATCAGGTTTGGGAAATCAGGGGCATTAGATCACTGTGGACCTAAAACAAACAAACGACAAAAACCTTTCAGCATTAGGAATGGTCTGGGGACCAATTAGTTCATCGCTGCAGTTGTTGCATTGCTCCATGCTCTCTAAATACAGAGCTTTAGTCTGTCTGTGTTTCAGTTTATTTTACAGGAGGTGGACATCACACTTCCAGAAAACTCTGCTTGGTATGAAAGGTATAAATTTGACATTCCTGTCTTTCATTTGAATGGCCAGTTTCTGATGATGCATCGAGTAAACACCTCAAAACTTGAAAAACAGCTCCTGAAACTTGAGCAGCAAAGTGCTGGAGGCTGACTAATACCCTCATGATTTTTAATCTCTCTTTCCATAAAGCATCTTTCTGAAGAAATGTCTGTGGCCTCACACTCCTTTTGTCACTTTCACAGAGCCCTAAGGATGTTCTGAACTCAGTGGTGCAAAATAAATGTTGAAGTTCCTCTTCTGATTGATGGAAGTACCAATACAGGAACTGTTTACTTATTGACATTTTATAAGATAAGAAGAGTGTATTGGCAGGGAGGGAGATGATGGAGGGAGGAAGAAATCCATTTGTCTTACCTATTCCTGTGGTATTAATGTATAAGCACTTCACATTCACTGGACAGTGCTGTGTATAGGAAGAAGGCTCTGCATTCCTACTGCTGCCCTGGAGTACTGAACCTTTTAATGAAAGAATAAATGCTCTTCCACTCAGTAGATAAAATGAAATGTGAATTGTTAATAACTGTTCACAGTCAATAAAGGGATGTTTTAGCAAATACATCTGCACAAAGCCTATTTCAGTGGGATTTAATAATACCTATTTAAAATTAGAGTTCATTTTTGTTGGGTAGAAGAGAATAATTATCCTAGGCAAAGACGCTTCATTTGAGAAAGACAAAAGAAAGACTTACACTCCCAGAAGGTATATAGGAATCTCAGTCTGCTTTACACATAGTCAGTGAATTGATTTGTAATATTTGAGGATTGTCTTTAATAGTTATTCAGTTATCATCAATTGAGTTAATCCAACTTATTATAAGACAAATAGTTTTATCAGGTTTTAACATCTTGGAAAAAATTCCCGCTTCTAAACATAACTGGACAGATATGTCATCTAAAGACAAAAATGCTCTTCATTCCATGTAAAGTATTAGAAATATAGTTTTTCCCTTTTTTATATTTAGTCAGTTTCAGCCAATATAGGAATGGATTCACTGAAAAACAAAACTGCTTTTCCTCTTAAAATCACATTCCTGCAATTCTATCTATAATGAAATTCTTTTATGAACTATTTGAATGAATTTGGATATTATAAGTCATTAGATTTTAATTTGATCAGTATGATTCAGTCTTAGAAATTATAGAATATTAGAGCTAGCTGACCTTAGATGTTGTCTAGTCACACCCCATTTTATATATGAGGAGGAATCTGAAACCAGAGAGTATCAGGGACTTAACCCAGGGTCACAGCCAGTCAGCTGGTAGTCCAGGTGTTGCCTCCCAGCCCAAATCTCCAGTACTCCTGGACCCATTTCTGGGGACTCAGTAACCTGTGTTATCTCACATATAGCCTCCCAGCCATTCTGGATCCAACACAAATTTGGAAACAACTTAAAAAGCCTTCCAAGTCTGGCACAGTAGCATGTGCGTATAGTCCCAGCTACTTAGAAGGCTGAGGCAGGATGAGTGTTTAAGCACAAGAGTGCAAGTCCAGCCTTGGCAACATAGCAAGACTCTGTCTCTTGAGGAAAAAAAAAGTATAAAGTATAAAATAACATTATAAAAAAATCTCAACAATTGAATAGCAGTGTTTATAATTTATAAATTTCTGAAACACATCTTATTTGATATTATAGATAGTAATATTTATTGAACCCTGAGATAGAATTCTAAGATGACCCAAATGACCCTCACTTTTATATAATTCCCTCCCCTTTGAGTGTGGGTGGGAATATCACTGCTGTGATTATGTTACATTATATGGCAAAAGGGAGATTATCCTGGGTTGGCCTGACCTAAGGTGAACCCTTTAAAAGCGAAGAGTTCTCTCTGGCTGGTTGCAAAGGGGAAAGTAGAGACAAGCTCTAGCTGCCCTGCAAGAAAGCAAACATCATTCTGTGAATTGCCTAGTGGGACCACATGGCAAGAAACTATGATTAGCCTTTAGGAACTGAGTAGTTCTTGGCCAAGAGCTAGCAGGAAAATGGAGACATCAGTCCTACAGCTTCAAGGAAATGAATCCTGCCAGTAATCAGTGAGCTTAGAAGAGGACCCTGAGCCCCAGATGAGAACTACATCCCTGGCCAACATCTTGATTTCAGCTCAGCGAGACTCTGATCCAAGAATTCAGCCACACCATGCCTAGACTTCTGATTTACAGAAACTGAAAGGCAATAAATGTATATTTTAAACTGCTAAATGTATGGTAACTTGTTACACACAGCAGTAGAGAATGAATACAAGTCCTTATAACACTGGAGTGGTAGGTGTGGGAGTACAAAAATGAATAAGACGCAGTCCTTGTCTTTGAGACTCTATGTTTCTTGGGGAGCAGGGAGAGCACGTGAGTAAAGCACAGCATAGTACATTGCGGGCTGGGACTGAGGCATGTGTAAAATGATGCAGCAGGTGAGGAAAGCAGTAGGAAGGCTTAACAGAAAATTAGACTTAGGCTAGGCCTTGATGGTTAAATAGAGGCAATGGAGGGGGTTGGGAGTGAGGAGGGTATTGCTTCCTGAGGGAGGGGTATACATAAAATGTGAGGCTATGGACGGGAACAGCATATTCAGAAAATGGCAGGTGGCTTTGCATGGCTAGAGTGAAGGAGAAGAGACTGAAGGAGACAAGACTGCCAAGACAGACTGGGCTCCTCCTTGTGAAGGCTTTAGCTAATGTGCTTTTGCCCCAGCTTCAGCAGCCTCCCTAGCTCCCCGCCTTCATCCAGAGTCAGTCCTCCTGGCTCCAGATTCTCTGGGGATATCCAGCCTCCCTACCCTAGCCTGTTGCGGTCTTTCTTCCAGTCCTTAAGCACGCTGAGTGCAATAGTCTCTTCTAGTAGTCCTGCAGGACACTTACACCCTTGGTTGCTATAACCTGGGTGTGCCATAGACTAGATCCTCCACTTGTGTGTCTGGGTGTCCTGTTCTCCTTCCTGCCATCCCCAGGCAGGGAAAGACTTGTGTGCTCCCTAGGTCCTAGGGTTGCTGATCCTTTTCCTGGGCTACCAGTTGGAAAAGTTCCAAGAGTTTCTTTCAGTGTCTGCTTGGCTAAGAGGGAGAGAATCCTTTGGTTCCCTTCAAAAAGCAGAGCTGGACGGAAAGCCTGGAAGTTTGTTCTTTGGAGCACATTTTTCCTGAGTATAATCACGTGATTGTAGTGTACAGGATGTACAGAGACTAGAGGTGAAATAATACTTCATCCAAACAACAAATTTCTGACATTAGAATTTCAAACAAACAAAAATCCCATATACTTATAGGATGTTCAAACTAAAGTCTTGGCTAAGGCACTAAGAAACAATAGGTGCTACATTTCAAAGAAATACTAGATCACATTGAAGAGTATTGTAACACGAAGAGAGAAGATATTTGGAGGATTTTTTTTTTTTTAAAGGAGGACGTGTTCTCACTTAATTCCTACCAAAGTGAAAGATTGGGAGTCATCTTATATCAAGAGAGAGGGCCAGGCTGGGCGCAGTAGCTCATGACTGTAATCCTAGCACTCTGAGAGGCCAAGGTGGGAGAGTCGCTTGAGGTCAGTAATTCAAGACCAGCCTGAGCAAGAGCGAGACCCCTTCTCTACAAAAAAGAATAGAAAAAGATGGAGACTCCTCTAGTCCTAGCTACTCAGGAGGTGGAGGCAGGAAGATTGCTTGAGCCTAGGAGTTTGAGGTTTCAGTGAGCTATGAGGATGCCACTGTACTCTAGCTGGGCAACAGAGCTAGACTCTGTCTCAAAGAGAGAGAGAGAGAGCCATAAGTGGGACTCATCAGAAAGCAAATGAATATCCCATTGGAAAGTGAATGAATGTCCTTGTGTAGGAATAACAGTGGTTTAACTCTCCTGGGAAACTGGGAAATCAGGCAAGTAAGGGGTTAGCAAGCAGCTTTGGCTGCAGAGTGAAGACTGCTGCTGTTGTTCCAAGTGTGTCCAGGGGAAGAGAGAGAGAGAGAGAGTGCATGTGGAATCTGGTCCTCATGGACCAGATTCATGAACCAAACATGAGAGTGGGTGATGTGAGGGCACCTTTAGTGCAGACAGGCCTCGGAAGAGGAGAAGCAGAGGGGAACATTGGGTTCCTAGGGCTGAGGGGGCTGCTCCAGTGGAGAGCACATTTGCCCGAATGAAAGGAACTGTGGGCCGAGACATCACTAGGAATAGGTGCAACTTCTCGGAACCCACAACAGCCCCTGCAAAATGTGGCCTGCTTTAAATGTTCACTAGGTCCAGAAAGCAGGAGGAAGCCAGCTTACAACTCCACCATTGAAATAAGAACATTCCCATCCCTCCCCACTTCTCTTGCCTTCTCCCATCCCAGTTGGTTAGAAGGATCAGAAGCTGCCAAGAGCAAGGAGAGAAAGACAATCCCCTACCGTGGCTTTCTACCTGCACATGACTTCACAGTAGGGAAAAGGGTAAGACTTAACTTTAAACCAAGTTCTAAGTTTTGATTGTGAAATGGGATTGAATGCACTAAACACAATTTAAAATGACCATGTGACTTTGTATTGCCCAAGAATGCCCAAAAGAACCCTGACACTGCCTGTTTTTTAATCATAAACAGAACAAGAAATTCTTCTACCAGATATATTTTATAGGGATAGTGGGAGATATAAATAAAATGATTTCTAAATGTATCCCATACCAGAGTATTGATTATATATGCCTAATGTTTACCTATACAAATTCAATAAATGTACTTATCAATTCTTAATTAAGAGAGGAACATGGTCATGTGACTAAGAATCCTGGAGCTCTTCAGGAATCTCCTTGGTCCCACCAGCTGACAAAGAAAAAGGCACACCTCTAGAAACATGGAGTCCCTTAGTGAAAGGTGCTTTGTCCCACTATTGAAAAGTGTCAGAAAATGTATATCCTTTATTAGTCATTTTTATGTGATATTTGTAGCACCAGTTTTTGAGTATGTTTATGGGGATCAGTTTGTTCTTATATAAAGACTAATTTTGATATAAGCTCATCATCTACCTCCAAAGGAAGTGATACAACCTTTTTTTCTTAAGCTAATGCTTTAAGAAGGTAGTGGAATAAACATTGAGTTTGGGACTTCATATTGCTGCTCTTAGAGTAGTGACAGTGCCTTTCTCGTCCCCATGTGTCGTAACATTATAAGGGCTTACTGGAACATATAACTTTTTAGTCAATTTATTGTAGGAAACAAGGATACCCTCAGAGTAGGGTTTTTAAAATGAAAATGCAGCAATCTCATGGGCATTTGACAAGAGGAATCACAATATGGACAGGCTTCAGGAAATGCAGTGAAACTGAGACAGGACCCTTCTCACAGTGCCCCGGCTGCTTCCTTTCCCTGTCTTGCCTAGTTCACCAGCTCCCCTGCTTACACACAGGATCTGCTTCCCCATAACTGCAGCTTGCTCATGCCTGTCATTCCTGCTGAACTTTCTGTTCAGTAATACAGTGGTCTGAGCCTCTTAGCTTCTCTATTCTGAAATCCTACAAGAGGAATTTTACTTAGCTTGTATTTTACAACCAGCCACCCAAGTGGTAAGTTGGCTGACTGAATCTATAGAAGGAGCCATCTATGGGACAGAGCCCACCTCTGGTCCAACCAACTATGAGGCCAAGATCATGTGGTGTTCAAATCAGTCACTGCCTGCTCGGCAGAGACTGGAGACTTGAGATGCACATGTGAGGGCAAGCAAGGGTCAGTAACTGGCACACATCCAAAGAGTTTAAGAGTATGTCATTCTAATATATTCAAGAGAAGTCAAGAGGGAACAGTTTAGTAAGTTCATTTATATCCTGCTCCACAGGAGTAATGAAGACATGAACCAAGGCAATAGGAGTTAGAATGAGGTATCAGGAGATATTTAGGAGTGAGGTTGACAGGACCTCATGACTGACTGGAGTGGGGAGTAGAGAGAAAGCATGGAGTCTGGGTTGACTCTGACTCTTCTTGCTTCGGCTATTGGGTAAATCCTGGTACTTACTACTCCCTGAAACAGAGTATAAGAGAAGAGGAAAGTTAGATTTTGATTGTACTTGGTGGATGGGAAAGGTGAGACATGGTAAATTTGTCATGCTTGTAGGAATCCAGGTAAAGATAAAAGTTGGAAGTATAAAACAAAGGTCCAGGCTTGAGATGCCCATTTGAGAGCCCACTGAGTATGGCTGGAACTGTGAGCACACTGCATATGAAGAGAAAAGTAGGCTATTACCAAACTCTGGAGGATACCAATCTCGACCCTTCCTTCCCATGATAGGAGTTGTCAGTGAAGGAAAATGAGAGCAAAGTGATAGAACTAGGAATGGGAGAAGCTTATCCAATGTATATTGTATGATGCCTTCATGATTTGATAGTGCCAGGCATTATTCTAAGTCCAAGGATAGAGCAACAGACAAGATAGCCATGCATGGTTCCTACTCTCAGAGGCTTGCATTCTGGAGGGAGAAGACAGACAATAAACTTATCATATCAATGGAAAATATTCATATGTTGAAAGCCAGGGGAGGAGCTTTACTCAGAGTAATTGACAATATCAAATATCAAGAAAGCTAGGATGAGAACTGAAAAGAAGACATCAGATTTGAAAATTAGAAAATCAGTGCTGCTACCATAGCCTAGAACTGAGGGTCCTCCCTTTAAAAGCTCTGTATTTCTGCTTATGTACAAGAATTTGGACTTTGAGATGATAGTCTGCCATTTTCCTCCTTTGCCAGCAAAGCAATAAACTTCTCTTTCCTTCTCAAAAAAAAAAAAAATAAATAATAATAATAATAAAGAAGAAAGAAAGAAAAGAAAGCAAGCAAGAAAACAAACGCTGCTGTAGGTGGAATAGCCCCCAAAGATATCTAGGTCCTACTTCCTGGAACCTGTGAATGTTACAAATTCTCCTCTGGAGTCCCCAGTAGGAGCAAGCCCTACTGACACCTTGACTTTAGCCAGTGAAACCAATTTCTGACTTCTGACCTACAGAACTGTAAGAGAATAAATTTGTGTGGTTTTAAGCCACCAAGTTTGTGGTAATTTGTTAAACAGCAATAGAAAATTAATCCAAATGTTGACTTGATTTTATTGAGAGCAATTTTGGTGTGGAGAGGGAAGTAGAGGTAAACTGAAAGAAAATTGCAATAGGACGATGACTGAAAAGTTCAGAAAGACAGCAGAATATCATATTTTAGAAAGTTTTCATTTGTATCTCATTTGACCCTCTAAGGAAAACCATCTGGTGAAGAGCTGAAGAAATGATATAGTTGATTCGCTCAGTACCCAAAAATGGCAGGCAGTGTTGGGCCAG